ATCTTTGTTCACAGATGGCATGACTATCTACGTAGAAAATCTGAAAGAATCAACATAAAAACTCCTAAAATGAATAAGCGATTATAGCAAGTTGCAGGATATAAAGTTAATATACAAAAGTCAGTTACTTTCCTATATACCAACAATGAACAAGTGGAATTTGAAATTAAAAACACAATACCATTTACATTAGCATGCCAAAAAATGAAATACTTAGGTAAAAATCTAACAAAATATGTATAAGATCTACATAAGGAAAACTACAAAATTCTGAAGAATAAAATCAAAGAACCAAATAAGTGGAAAGATACTCTATGCTCACAGACAGAAAAACTCAATATTGTCAAGCTGTCACTTCTCTTCAACTTGATCTATGGATTCAATTCAATCCCAACCAAAACCCCAGGCAATTATTTAACAGATATTGCCAAACTAATTCTAAAGTTTATATGAAGAGGCAAAAGACCCAGAATAGCCTACACAATATTGAAGGAGAAGAGCGAAGCTGGAGGACTGACACTACCAGATTTCAAGACTTACTAGAAAGCTACAGTAATCAAGACAGTGTGGTACTAGTGAAAGAACAGACAAACAGATCAATGGAAAACAACAGAGAACCCAGAAATAGACTCCCATAAATATAGTCAACTATCTTTGACAAAGGAAGAAAAGAAATACAATGAAGCAAAGATGGTCTCTTCCACAACTGGTGCTGGAACAACTGGATATCCACATGCAAAAAAATGTATCTACACACAGACTTTACCCCCTTCACAAAAATTAACTCAAAATAGACCGCTGACTTAAATGTAAAACACAAAACTATAAAACACTTAGAAGATAACACAGGACAAAATCTAGATAATCTTGGGTATGGTGATGCCTTTTTAGATACAACACCAAAGGCATAATCAATGAAAGAAATAACTGATAGATTGGACTTCATTAGAATTAAGAATTTCTGTGAAAGACAGCATTAAGAGAATTAGAAGACAAGACTGGGAGAAAATAATAGCAAAAGACACATTTGATAAAGGAATGTTATCCAAAATATGCAAAGAACTCTTAAAACTCAACAATAAGTAAACAAACGACCCAATTAAAAAATGGGCCAAAGACCTTTATAGCACCTCACCAAAGAAAATATACCGTTGGCAAATAAGCATATGAAAAGATGCTCCAGATGATATGTCAACAGGGAAATGCAAATTAAAACAACAATAGATACCACCACACATCTAGTAGAGTGGCTAAAATCTGGACACTGACAATACCAATTGCTAGCAGATGTGGAGCAATAGGAACTCTCATTCATTGCTCGTAGGAACGCAAAATGGTAAAAGCCACTTTGGAAGACAGTTTGGTGGTTTCTTACAAAACTAAACATACTCTTACCATATGATCCAGCAATCACATTCCTTGGTGTTTACCCAAAGGAGTCGAAAACTTATTTACACACAAAAATCTGCACATGGATGTTTACAGCAGCTTTATTCGTAACTGGCAAAACTTGGAAGCAATCAAGATGTCCTTCAGTATGTTAATTGATAGAAAAACTGTGGTACATCCAGACAATGGAATATTATTCAGTGCTAAAAAGAAATGAGCTATCAAGCCATGAAAAGATATGGAAGAATATTAAGGGTATATTACTAAGGGAAAGAAGCCAATCTGAAAAGGCTACATACTGTATGATTCCAACTATATGATATTCTGAAAAAGGCACAAATATGGAGACAGTAAAAAGATCATTGGTTTCCAGGGGTGGAGGGTGGAGAGAGACGAATAGGCAGAGCACAGAGGATGTTTAGGACAGTGAAAATACTTGGTATGATATTGTAATGATGGATATGTCATTATACATTTGTCCACATCCACAGAATGTACACCAAAAGTGAACTCCAAAGTAAACTATGAACTTTAGGTGATTATGACGTGTTAACGTAGGTTCATCCTTGGTAAAAAATGTACCATTCTGGTGAGTGATGTTGACAATGGGGGAGGTATGCATGTATGGCGACAAAGGTATATGGGAAATCTCTATACCTTCCTCTCAATTTTGTTGTAAACCTAAAACTGCTCTAAAAAAACCCAAATTCTTAAAAAAATACTAACACTCTCAAAAGACAGTAATAAATATATATGATGTCTTCTTATTGAAATATGTTACATAACTACTGCCATCAATATCAAGTTAGATGGTGGGCTTAGAACTGATATGACATTTACTGGTCGGTAATTCACAGAGTTCCTTCTAGATTCCTGATCAGTGGGGTTTCCAACATTAATCTATAATTCTTATGAAATAGTAGTTGCTCATAACGTCAGGATACACATTTTTAACTAACACCATACTCCTTCATCCACTTCCCCAATAACTCAGCCATATTCAATTTTTCTATTCTCTACATTTTCAAATAGAATTTAAAAATTATAGCAGTGTGAGTGTTTTAAAGATAACCACAGGTAAAAGGGATTAAGAGGTACAAACTTCTAGTTATAAAATAAATAAGTAATGGGGATGCAATGTACAGCATAGGGAAAATAGTCAATGATATAATAACTTTGTATGGTGACAGATGGTAACTAGACTTACCGTGGTGATCATTTTGTAATGTATATAAATATCAAATCACTATGATGTACACCTGAAACTAATATAATATTGTATGTCAATTATACTTCAATTAAAAAAATAAATGAATAAACGTAACGAGCTTTTTCAAAATATATTGTGACATTATAAGCAGCATATTCTATGTAGCTAAAATGTCTTTATGTTCTTAGACTATGAGATGTAAGTTCTGGTAATCATTTATGAATGGAAAAATATTCTTCCAGTTCACTGAAGGTCTTCTTTTAACATTGAAATTTTCATAGACATACCCCACTGAGGCTGGGTTAGGGCCAAACTGTCCTCCCTCATTAGAATCTGCACGTTTTTTTTTTTTAATTGTAGTAAATTGCACATAAAATAAAATTTACCATCTTAACCATTTTTCAGTGTATTGTCTATACTTTTAATATCATCTCCAAGAAGGAACAAAGGGCCACAGACACATTTTTAAAACAGCAAAAACAATGCCTAGCTCATTTATGGAACTTGGAGGGATGATGACTCAACATTCAGGTAGGGGTTGTTAATAATCTAAATCTGAGTGTCCCTTTATTTACTGAAATCAGCTCCTACAAACAGGCATTAGAAGTAGGTAGGCAAATAGTTAACAATCAATTTGCTAAATTGTATAAATTCCTAAAATGCATCAGAAATCTATGATTTAGATTTCACTGACGTGAGAGATTCATAAAATTGGCACAAATAATATAGGAATGTAAAATACTGTTTCCAACCCAACTTGCTTCAAGGACTTCATCAAAAATGCCATGGGGAAATATTTTTTGCTCTCCTTCTTTTCATGTCACATAATTATACTTTTACGGATTGTGTAACATATATTGGAAAAAAAGTTAATATTTTGGAGACTGTATAGCTCTATAGTCCTTTTAAAAAAGATACTGAGCAAACAGAAATCATGGATGGTAAAAGATGATCTAATTAGAGGGTCTTCATTTAAAGTTAATGAAGTTAAGAGTGTTATCATTTTTAAATAATTTTTTTAAAATAAAGAAGACTGAGAAACTAATGTAACAGTTATAGTATACAAACTGTGGCAGAATGGAAAGAGTACTGACTTGAAAAACAAACCAAAATCCTAGATCCACCATTTTTTAGTTATGTGTGTATGATTTCAGGCAGGTCACTTATCGGATCTGAGTCCCAAGATCCTAACCTATAAAGTCGTGATAATGCCCATATCTACCTCACAGGGTGGTTGTGGTAATATGCTTCAAGACATATGAGTTGACTTAACATAAAAATACCTGGCACACTGCCTAGCATCAAGTGGCTCTCAGCGAATATCTCTTTCTTCCTTTTCTTCTCAATAAACAGAACTTAGAGCCTTCTGCTTAACTCACAACAAAAATAAAAGCAGTATCTTTTTCATAGATAAATGGTTTCTTCACTTGAGTTCTTATGAAAGATTTACTCTAAGTACTGATATGATTATAAAAGTATGAAAACAACAAGCAAAGAAAACAGATCTTGAGAAGCATCTAATACGCAGCTTTCTTTGTTTCACGCTGACATGCTTTGTGGTTACAATGCTGGCTTCCAGTGAACACCAGATCAAAATTAAAATTCTAGGCAGGCATTCAACTGTTATGATTGTGTCAATTCTTTACTGAGCATGGGAAACGAATGCTTTAGAAGTTATTTATTGAAGATATTCCCATAGTACTCTTACAAAGTTCACTTCCAAAAGAGGTCCTAACCCTGTAATGTAACTGAGTAAGTGAAAGCTATACCAGGTTTCTTTTTTTTTTTTGGAAACGTCTTTTTTTTTTTTTTGCGTGGAAGATCAGCCCTGAGCTAACATCCATGCTAATTCTCCTCTTTTTGCTGAGGAAGACTGGCTCTGAGGTAACATCTATTGCCAATCCTCCTCCTTTTTTTCCCCAAAGCCCCAGTAGATAGTTGGATGTCATAGTTGCACAACCTTCTAGTTGCTGTATGTGGGACGCGGCCTCAGCATGGCCAGAGAAGCGGTGCATCGGTGCACGCCCAGGATCCGAACCCGGGCAGCCAGTAGCGGAGCGCGCGCACTTAACCACTAAGCCATGGGGCCGGCCCTATACGGGGTTTCTTGTATTGTAGTTTAAAAATTGCAGCAGGGTAATAAAATCATGTTTTTAACAGAGACTTTTCTGAGGCTAGGCTACAGCAATTTTGCAAAAGTCCATGATAAATTACAGGAAAAGAGACCAAACAAATTTCAAAAATAAAGAACACCAATCCAAAATGACTTATGACCATATTTTGAATAAAATTAAATATAGAATAACTAGCAAAAAGCATTTAATTTAATTATGGTTTTCCTATTATGAATGTAAAGTTCGCACTAATGCAGTAAGCCTAATCAAAATCAGATAATAGTTACCTCTGTGGCCTTGCTTGATGGTTGCAGTCCAGTCATGTTTGCTACTATTAACTGATGTAAGAGTTGAACTTGAGCCACACTTAGGAAGAAGTCCAGGTTTGTGGTTATATTCACTTCCAAGGAATGGCCACACACTAAAATCTCCTGAAGGAAAAAAGGTTGAATACAGATAAAGAAACATGATAGCCATTAGACAATAATTTATCATTCTTACTTATTTGACCTTTACAATGTTGATGAATTCTCCTGGGACTCAAGTTCATATGTTAATGAGAATAGCAGAAATGGTGAGAATAGCCACTCGACATAGTTTTATGGATTAATTTAATAAACATTTATGAGGGCCTGCTGTGCACAAGGCCAAGCGCTAGCTACAGAGCAACAAATTAACAGTAAGAATTTTTCAGCATTTCACATACATTTGGCTTTTTTATACCTCAGACTACTATCATTGTTTCAATATGTATGGGATGATATAATTCTTTAACATAATCTTGTTCATTCATTCAAACTAACAAATATTTATTGAGCATCTCCTAAGTACCACGTACTAGAGTCTAGGAATAGCACAAAGAATAAGGCTGACCTTGAAGGAGGCTCTTGAGGAGGTTACAATCTATTGTGCAGACAGATGTAAACAGGCAATTCTAGGCAGGCAATTACAATCACAAGCGGTATGGCCTGAGTACTCTCCAAAGGACATACTCCAATTGATTTATAACAAAACAGAGTGCTGAAGCCAAAGATAGCTAGACTAATTAATTTCACTTCTTCAAACGGCTAAAATCTTGGCAGCATTATGTAGATGTCCACTACTTAACTGGTGCTGTTCTGCATAACTGAGTCACTGGAACAGTCATCATTGGAAAGCCATTCAGAGAAGCAAAACAGAAATGAAAAACAATCCAGAAGCTTCACTTAATAAGCAGAAGTCCTGCCTCTTGTCATGAAGTGCATGTGGACAATGTTCAAATGCTTGGAAATGTCCAACAAACCTTCTCCTTGTCATCCAAGAGAATGGATTTAAGGAGACTTACGACTGGCCCAAACACTAACTACACAGCTTAGAGCAGCTTTTAATAAAGCCATAAAGAACAGCTTGTCGGAAATGATTATCCCTTTTGTTCGTTAAATAAATTTTCCCCCACAAGTTCCCTGAATTTACTCATGATAGTTAGAATTCTTATTTTATTCCTCAAGTAATGATGAAAAGGAATATATTTGTGTATTTTAAACCAACTATGTTACTAAGTAACTGCAAGATATTAGTAGACAATTTTTATACACTTTTTGTGGATATCTAAGATACCATGCTTAACCTAACTTTCCCTACAGGGTTATTATAAACATCAAATGAGATAACATATACAAAAGTACTGTTTTTTTAAAAATTCAGAGAAGGAAAGTAAACTTTTATCAGCTTGGATTAATATATTTAATCTATACCTAAATTTTCTGAACTTTTCGTAACAAGTGCCTATAACTCGGTGAATAATCAGAAAGTTCATAAAGATTTTAGCATAATAAATTTCTATGAAGAATAATTTTTAGGTAATGATGGATCACATTATTATTACATTTATATTCTAGGCATGGAGGCAGTATACCATAATGGTCAGACTTGAAACCTGGATCCACCAGAAACAGGCTAGCAACATTGGTCAAATTAGTTAATCTCTTTTGATCTCAGTTTCCTCATCTATAAAATACGGCTACTTATGATATCTATCTCACAAGGATGTTGTGAAGACTAAACGAGGTAATCTATGTAGAACTCTCTATGTAAGGTAATTCATGTGAGAACCCTATCAGTATTATGGCTGCTTTCATTATAAAGAGGTTTTAGAGGTTAGGGGTGTATGGTCTGGAGCCAGACCAGCTGGGTTCCTACCATGCTCTGCTACTTACTACTTGTGAAAATTTGGACAAGTTATTTGGGTTAGCCTCTCTGTGCTTCAGTTTCCCCATCTATAAAATGAGGATAGTAGGAGAAGCTAACAGGATTATCATGAGGATTAAATGCATTACTACACGAAAAGCAAAAACTGAGCAGTACTAGAAAGTGCTCAATTATTAGTTACAATGGTAACTTTTTAATAATAAGCTAACTTGATATCCTGTCCACTGAAACTATGAAAACCCCTAATATTCAAAGAGGAACTGCTCCATTATTTAGACCAAAATGAAATCTAAATTAAATTCTAACCTCAGTATGCATATTTTCTGGAGAAATTATTTTGCTGAAAATGATGGCAGGTGCTCCAGTTATTCGGACAGAAAAATCTGTTAAAATGGGAGTTAAAATTGCTCTTCTTTCTTGATGCCGCCGTATGCTAAAAGATAAAGTAAAAAATTATTAGCCATTTCATATTTTCAAGGATCATTTTCATTAAATTTATACTACAAACAGGTATGACAAAATTACATTATTACTTTGAGAGCACCTATTTGTATGTATATTGATAGTCATAGTTTTGTAACTTTAGTTCTTAACTTCAGATTTATGAAAGACAGCAAAAACTCACAGAGAAATTCAGATGTAATTAATCAATTTCATATTAGTAGCATCCTAGGGACCTTTCAACAAATTACATTTTATTTTTTTGTGAGGAAGACCAGCCCTGAGCTAACATCCATGACAATCCTCCTCTTTTTGCTAAGAAACACCGGCCCAGAGCTAACATCTATTGCCAATCCTCCTCCTTTTTTTCCCTTTTTCTCCCCAAGGCCCCAGTAGATAGTTGTATGTCATAGCTGCACATCCTTCTAGTTGCTGTATGCTGTATGGCTGGACAAGCGGTGTGTCAGTGCGCGCCCAGGATCTGAACCTGGGCCACCAGTAGCAGTGTGCGCGCACTTAACCGCTAAGCCACAAGGGCCAGCCCCACTTTGTCTGTTTTCAATTCCTTTTGTTCTTGCAAAAAGTTTAGTATCTCTTTTGTTACCAACAATAATTTTACTATTTTGTGATAATTTTTAATTTCCTATGTTTAATATTTCAGACCTTCTACTTGACAACTGCCATCTTTCCAATCTCATTAGGGTCACAAAACTTATGCCTTTACAGTTAGTGAAATGGCTTTTGTGCCTTGAATACTGAATGCTTCTTCACAACAACCCTGAACGTGAAGTAAGGATCACTATCTAGCCCCACATTACCTACGAGGAAATGAGGTTCAGGACTGGGCTGAGGCCACCCAGTGGGAACAAAGATTCCAGAATTGGGCCTCGGGGGCAAGTTGATACCAGAGCAGCATTTGGCCTCTATTTTAATTCTTCTTTATACATTCTCACATTTGAGCAGTTATTTAGCATAATATTCCTACTCTACACTCAAAATTGCTAACTGCTAATAATTTCAAAGGAAGTATTGCATACATGGTAGAAGACGAAACTGGAAAACAGAGAGTAGCCGAAGCTTGTGCTAGTACAGATCTTCAAGTTTACTATCCATATTCTTAGTTTTCATTTTATGAAATAATACAGTTCTATGTTTTACCAGCAAGCTGTACCTCAAAAGTTCTTTGGAACCATTAATTTAATATTCCTTTTAATATGTCCTTATTAATCCCTTATATTATAAAATGATAAAGTTGAGATCAGAAAATTGGCATAAGTTATCTCATGAAGAAGCCCAGATAAAACTCAAGACTTTCTATATCCTTATCTATGAGAGTAGTCTAGAGTACTAGTATCTTTCGTTGAACTTTGCAATGGGCAGAGCTTTACATGACGTCTGCCAAAAAAGCAAATTGGATCATCTGGTTCTGTGACACATAAGTATTGGATTTCAAGAAAGTCAATTTTAAAGAATTAAGAGATCTGGTGAATAGAGAGTAACAGGAAGAAGTATTAAAATCTGTGAATACAGAGGAAGGGTTGAGATCCTGAGAGACACCATAATTACAGCCTAATAGCTCAAATTCCATAAAACGACCAATGTGAGAAACATGTAACATCTGATGTGCTCTCAGAGGGAGTGCTAAAATATGAGATGTTTTAAAAATACCTTAAAATGGAAAAGATGGCAAGGGACCAAATAAAAGCAAACATTAAAAGGATTGATGGTGAAAAAACAAAGCACTCATCTATATCATATTTTTCCCCCTTACGTGATGAATTAAATCAATAACACCACATATGAAAGATCTACGACCTTAGACATAAAAAAAATTTAATAAGTCAACATTCCTATAAAATTATAACTTATCTGCTATACAGTGCTAACTCTTCTTTTGTATTATCTTTGATAAGTATTTGAGGTAATGATACATACTTTTAAAATCATTAAAATTTTTCATAGATCCAAATATTTTCAAGGATGAATTCAAAAGAAAGAAAAAAATAAACACTGAAGAAACAACTACAACAAGAATTAAATTCTGCCAACATTTTACTAGATAATAGGCTAGGGTTTAAAATAACAAAAGAGGGAAGTAAAACTCAAAGTATTAACTGACATTGTTAAAGACTTCAGAGTCTCAGCCACTCTCAGTAAACCAAAGGAACTGATTTTTAAGGTATTGAGACATCAGGCTAATCCTTACGTCCTTGATAGACAAGGATTTTGAAATGAACTGCCTACCTACACCTGGGGCCCTTGAAGGGCTGGAAAAATATCTTCCTATCAGAAATAGGGAAGAACGAGAAAGTTTGTCTGTCTTGCCAAGAGAGCTAGTTTGAAAAACAGAGATCTCCCTGGAAAATTAAAAATAATGGGAAATCCCCCTTTGTGTGTTTGGTAGCTGTAATTTATATTATCTGTGTTGGTCTAGAAATAACCATTTTGAGTTATTCATATAAAAGTTGCATCAGGGGAGTGACATCAGCATCATGGCAGAGTGAGCTTCTGCCATTGAACTCTCCCCCTCTAAGACACAACAAAAAGGACATTCATATTCCAACAGAAGCTATTCACACAACATAGGGGACGTCTGAGACACCCAGGCAGCCATACACCCAAGGACTGAGGTGCTGGAATCCCTAGAGTAAGTGGAAGGAGCTTCTTTCACTTGACCTGTGCTCAGGCTCCAGCTGACTTGGTGCCAGCAACTTAAGCCCACCAGGTCCAGCTTCTTTGGCCCAGCACACTCCAGTTCCAGCATCTTCAGCTCAGCGCACTCCAGTTCCAGCTTCTTCAGCCCAGCAGTGCTCCAGCTCCTGCTTCTTTGGCCCAGCGGAACTTCAGCTGCAGCTGCTTCAGCCTAGCTGTGCTCCAGTCTCAGCTGTTCACATGCTCCAGCTCCAGCTGTTCCCATGCTTCCCCCCCAGCAGCCTCCACTCAGCCATGCCTCAGATGAGCCAGGGGCTGATGATGCTGGGCCCATGGATTGAGGCGGGCCAGAATACACAGCACTTGATTCCCACTCAGTGGCAGCAAGAGGAAACTGCGACCATATATTTTCACTATGAGGAAAAGTAGGCCAACAGCAACAGGCACTATGCAAAAATATATTAAATCTCCAGACCAAAAGGAAAATGACAAGCACCAAGAAGTCAACCCGGAAAGCACAGAAATGTATAACCTTAATGACAGAGAATTCAAAATAGCCATCATAAAAAAGCTTAATGAAATACAAGAAAACACAGACAGACAATTCAATGAAATCAGGAGTTTCTTCACAAAAGAGATTGAAATTATAAAAAAAAACCAATCAGAAATCTTAGAGATGAAAAACACAATAGAGGAGATAAAGATAAATCTGGAATCCTTAAGCATCAGAGCTGACAATATGGAGGAAAGAATTAGCAACATTGAGGACACCAATGCAGAAATGCTCCAGATGGAAGAGGAAATAGAACTAAGACTAAAAAGAAATGAAGAAAATCCCCGAGAAACATGCGATTCAATTAGGAAATCCAACATAAGGATTATAGGTATTCCAGAGGGACCAGAGAGGGAAAAAGGAGCAGAGAACTTGTTCAAAGAAATAATAGATGAGAACTTCCCAAACCTGCGGAAGGAGCTGGAAATACCAGTGAATGAAATAAATAGATCTCCTAAATATATCAACACAAAAAGACCCTGTCTAAGGCATATAGCAGTAAAGCTGGCAAAAGTCAAAGGCAAAGAAAAAATATTA